CCACCCCCAGCCTGGGCAGCTTCATGAGCACCGCCGAGCGGGTACGGCTGCCGGACGACTGCACAGTGGGCTACATCGTGGAGGGGCTGCTGGGCGCACGCCTACGGCACAGCTCACTGTTTCACTCCCACCTGGAGAACCTGAGGAGGCTGCCACCGGACACTGTACTCCAGCAGGTGTTGGGGGGGCCTGGCCCAGAAGGTCTTCCAGCTGAGCAAGGGCTCAGGGATTTATGGCTGGCCGGGGTGGGTTCCAGGTGTGATGGGGGCTCATTTGCAAAGGGCAGCCGCTGTGCTTTCCCAGGTGACAGGCCCAGGACAGCGGGCAGTGGTCTGGGTGGTGACGGGACAGTGGATCAGTTTGGAGCAGGGGACACCTGCTGCCCTCCTGTGGTGGCTTCTGTGCTGGCCAAGCCACTCAGCGCATCACCCTTCCCCTTCCCCAGAGCACCTGGGGAACCAAGTGGCCCCTCCTGGCTGGATCCTGAGTTGGGTGGGGACCCTGGAGGGGGTGGTTAGAGAGTAAGTCACTGTCCTCTCCTCCCAGGTGACTTTAAGCTATGGGGGTCCTGAGAACCCACGTAATGTGGTGAATGTAGCCGGAGGCTTCAGCTTGCAGCAGGACCCCACACGGTGAGTGGGCCATGGGGAGGAGCTTTGGAGCCAGCCCGCCCCTCCTGTGGCCCTGATCCCCACGTCCCCTTTCTCAGGTTTAAGTCCGTCCACTGCCTTCTCTACCCGGACACAGATTGGTGTCCTGTGCAGAAGCAGGGTGACCTCGTCTCTAAGTGATCCTCGACCCTTGACCCAGAAGGCGGCTCTTGGGCAAAGCCTGCCCCCTCTTGGCCTCAGTGGACTCCTTCAGGCAGTCATGGTCACAGCCACATCCACAGAGACGTGGGCAGCCAGCAGACAAGGTCTGATCAGCAGGCCTTCCCACGGCCCCTGGCAGGCCCAGGTGACCAGGCACTTTGGGGAGCAAGCACAGTGCTGCCTGCCCTGCCTAGGGATCTGGACTCTAGTGTGCTAGCTGCCCCTCCTTCCAGTCCAGCCCCACCCCAGAGGCTTGCCCCCACAGGCAAGATCTCCACTAGGGTCTGGGGCTGAGAGGGAGCTGTTGTCAGGTGCCCAGGGCTCACCCTGCTGGAGAGGGGCCCCAGGCAGACTAGACCCTGAGGAGTGGGCTCCAGGCCAGGGTCTTGCATGGGATCTTCTCAGAGGCTTTACCTGCAGACCTCTTGAGGGAAGCTGCTCTCCCACACCTGGCTTAGTGCCCAGCAGGGCATCTTGGTGTCTGGGGCAGTGGCACTCAAGGACTGAGGGTCCCCAGCTGGCCATGCTCTTGGGCATCTCCATGTGGAAGCCACCTTGTTGGGGTGCCCCTGCGGCCAAAGCCCCTCTCAGGTTCCTCAGCCAGACCCCTTACTGGGAGCCTTAAGGTCACTCTCCACTCCGACTTCGTCCTCAGTACTGGTCTTCTCTCCCTGGCTCCAAGTCCAGGAGACGGGAGCCTTTGTGTGGGGCTCCGCCTGCAGTTGGACAGCCCCTCCACCTGTGTGGACTCACCTGCCTGTGCCTTTTCCCAGGAGGGGGAGTAGAGTGGCCCCCCCTGGCCTTCTCTCTGCTGTTGCAATAAGCGAATAAAAGTCTGATTGTTACTTTCTGTTTGGCTCTTTGTCTCAATGGACCAGTGGAGCTCCTAGCTGCTTGGCTCTGGACAGGCCACCAGCATCCAGCTCCTCCCCAGGAAGGTTCCAGCCCTGCAAGCCCAGCCTAAGGCTGCCCGGGGTCTTTTCTGTGAGCTGAAGCACACAGCAAGGGGATCCTGCAGGAAGTGATGAACCAGCACAAGCCTTGTCCCTAAAGGCGGCCTTCCTGCGTATTGTTGAACACTTGCTCTCAACACACTGCAGAATTAGTGTTTGTGAGTGCACGAGTGCATATGCACGTGTGCAGGGGTATGCACATGTGTGCATGGCTACATGTGTATGCATGGGTATGTACATGTGTGTAAGCAGCTGTGTATGGGGCTGCATGTGTGCACTGCATGGGTGTGTATATAGATGGGTGTGTGTGTACACAAGTGTCCATGGCTCTATTTCCCGTGTGAATTTTATCAGGCGTCCGGAGAGTGAACGTAGAGTAAGCCTCCCTCCAGTGGTCCTGACTCATAAGGACATGACTTTGCAGGTCACAGCTGCATGCCCAGGGAGTTGAACGTGGTGTTAATGATGTGTGTCTGGCTCCAGCTGGGCCAGAACACCCGTGTCTCCAGCAGCTCCGCTCCTTGCAGCTCTGTTCTCACCCCACATGCGCACAGCCCTGTCCTCAGCCGCGGACCCGACAGGAACCACACACAGATGTCCGGGCATAGTCTCCTCCTTTCAGATGTTGTGCCCTGAAGATCCAAGCCCCTTTGGATGCCTCAAACTCGATCTGCTTCCCCTGCTTGGCAGGGCTATGTGTTCTGCTTGGACTCTGGCTCCTGGCCCCTGGGTGGAGAGCTTATCCCAGGCAGGGCATCTGTGGGTCTCATCTCAGGGCTTTGCATCCCCCGCAGGAGGAAGTCTCGTGCTGCTCATTTCCTGAAGACAGTCACCAGGTATATCTGTCAAGCTCCACGATTATTTACAGTGGGAGGGCTAGTGTGGACACCAGGTACAACATCACACATTTTTAGTCTATGGAAAGGTCTGTTTTTGACTTGTCCACTCTGCTCCAAGGGCACCAGCTCCACGAGGAGGCATTAGCTGGTGGGAGGGTCCAGTGGGGACTAAGAAGACAGAAATGTGTCTGGGCAGGGCCAACTCCCGAGGGGGGTCATTGGACTTCCCAGAGACACCATCATGCTGGAGGAAGGAGCCCTCCTCTCCATGTGACTGAAAGAGACAGGCCGCGGGGGGAGCAGGCAGAACAAGCTAAGGATCCAGTGACCTGGCCTGCAGAGGGGAAAACCGTCGCTAGAAAGTTACTCTGGACCCAACAGCAGGGCCCTCAGCTCTGGGACTCACAGTGCAGGAGGCTGTGTCTGCAGGCCAGGGGCAACTCCCCTGTGAGCCGCCAACCCCAGACAGGTATGGGGCCTCAGGGTGACCCCACGGTGAGGATGGGGGGCACAGGGTGGCAGCTTATGGTCAGGAAGCTTGGTGCTCCCTCCCTAGCTCTGCATCCCTGCCCTGGCCTAATCCTGGGAGGAGCTGGGGTGGCTTTTCCCAGGGCATCACCTTACACTTAAACCCACAGCCTTTGTACTTGGAGGAGCACTTCCTGATCCAGAAAAGCTTAGTACTTGGCAGAGGAGAACTGCCAGAGCCTCCTCCCACCCACACCTCACAAACAGCGCCTTAATCCCATTCTATGGGGGCGGGTATTTGGGAGACTCTGGGCTTCTGGGGTTTGGCCATGGCCAGACTCATGAGGGGAAAAGACAATCAACAGGCCAACAGGGGAAAGACTAGAAAGGCTGTGGTCTGGGGTTCACCATCCAGCTCAGGGCCATGCGTCCCACTCAGCCTGAGGAAGGTGGCATGCAGGTGTCAGCTCCAAGGTCTTCCTCCCAGGACACCCTGCAGAAACCCTGCTCTGTGGTCCCCAGAAGCATGAATGCCCCTCCACACAAGAGATCCTTTCAGCAGAAAGGGCCTGGTGCTGAGCCCATAGACACCCAGAGGCAGGGCCCCCCCACGATTTATCATTTTCTCCCTACCTGGGCTCCCAGGAGTCGAGAGATCTCAGAGAGGAGAAGCGGGTTATTGGACAGAAGCCCCTCTTTCTGGGGTGGCCCCTGAGGGTCCAGCCCCAAGTCTGAGTAAGGGAGAGGTGACAAAGGCCCACCTGCCGGTCAGGGCCACACCTGGAGGGCCTGCAGCAGGTGTCAAATGCCCTGCCATGACCCTGGAACCTGCAGACAGGCTTCAGTCCTGGGAACCCTGTTACACAAGAGTGGGAGGTGCTCGCACACAGCCTCAGACTCATTTCCTAAATCCACAGGACCAGCAGCACAAAGCACATGCTAAGTCCTTTGCCCACCCAACCCCCCCAC